CCCATCTTTAATGAAGATTATTGTCAGTGGGTTCAAGTTGGATTAACACATTCAACAGAAGACCCCAGAGAAAGACTGAGCTCCAACGTGAGCTGATGCAGCATCAGGTGCACACACACAAACACACGCACAATGAGCTGGCTGTGGCTTTGGTTTCTCATATTTTATTAATATGTAATGAACATCCAACTACAAGCAGCACTGACATTTGAGATAAGACTTTTATTCAGATAGCTTAAGACGACTTGCAGATGCCACACATTTTACAACATCAAGGTCAAGAAAAACGATGCACACTGTGATCAGTATATGCAATTGTCACACTTTAATGGTTTGTTGCAGCTGTGACTGATAACACTGAGACATTTGATAAACATATTCCAGATACAAGTATTTGGGGTTCGGGTCTAATGAAGCGTGAAAGCCTTAAATAGATTATCTAAAGAAGCCAGGTGCCACCCCTCCCGCCTCACTTTTTAACCTCACACACACACACACACACACACACGCACACAAGGAATACACTGTCTCTTTAAACATTGGTAGAATGCATAGATTTGACCTCATTACATAAAGTTACTACAAAGAGTCAGACAGTTGTCAGGGTGGTGTTTAATTAAAACATATATATATAACAAAATATGGCAAAGCAACGCAAGCAGATAGGTCATAATTCAAATTGTATATATGTAGAGAAAAAATACAAAAAAAGAAGAGGAGACACAGTCATCGGCAATTCAAAGAGGCTACAAAGAACGCTACAAACAACAATGGTGTTTTGTTCTGCGGGCAAGTACAACCAACACACTTCTATTTGTTGGCTGGAGTAGGTGTTAATTAAGAAGCTCCACCAGTGCAGCATGAATTACAGTCCTGAAAAGAAAACAAGCTTACAAATGCAATCACAAAGCTCTCCTCAGAATATAATTATCTTATGGAAAGACACTGTTGAATATTTCCCTTTTTTTTTGTGCAACAATAATTTGCCAAGTAATTGTTTTCTCCACAGAGTTTTGACCATGCTGAAACTGAAGGGTCATGCATTAAATAGGCGCGTTAAACTCCTGCAAACTGAGACATCAGCGAACTATCTTTGTGTGCAATATTCATTTCAGTCAGACACAGGAGGACCTTCCACTTTCATAATGTAGCAGAGATTCGTTTATCCAATTAATACTCTGTGAAGAGTGAAGAGTGATGAATGTTTGTCCAGGTAACAGCTTGCTGGGAGGACAAATTCGGGTGTCCTTGATCTTCAATCTTTTTGTACCTTTTGGGCCCGACGAATGATAAGAGCACAGCATGCTATAAATAATTCCTTCTCATTATGAGGAAGCGCACATGTTTGTCACACACTGACTGAATGTCTAATTGAGCACATGCAAATCTGTTGCATGTGGCACTGTGGATAACAAAAGTAGAAGTCATTTTTGTGTTTGCAATCATAATCGCACGTTATAAAATATACAAAATAATGTGTTTTAAGTCATTAAATGTGTTTTTTTAGCTTTCTGCTCAGTACTATGGATTAGTTTCCATTCATATTCAGGAAACACAATGTCTAATCAAATGGCACTGCTCCATGCTGATAAGAGAAACACTCTTGATCGCATATGCCACAGGTGAGCTTCTTTAATAATGGTGTTATACTGTTTGTGCAGACATGGGACTTACTGTACATTATGGCTTCCTTTCAGTACGTTTTTGACACTGACTGAATTGGAAGCTCCCTCGCTGAAGGAGGCTTCTGCTCCCCGACATAACGACTTTACAGCGACTTTCAGTCTGCCCGCATGCACCTGACTCATCCTGACAGCTGTCCATGGAGCTCGCATGATGTCATCTGCAGGCTCTCCCTTCCTTCCCGAGTGAGAGGCCCGGACCGCCGTGATTAGAAATGGCGTCACTCTCCCGCGGCAACACCCAGGGGTCGGACGGGAACGTCAACTGGTTAGTCACACTTAATGATCGTCCTCGATAGCAGTCGTTCGCTGGGACTTTCTTGCAGAGGTGAAAAGAAACGTACATTATTATCGCGGGGATTTCACAATCGCGTCCCACGGGGAGGACATGTTTACAGTCTTGTGTTTTGGGACAGTGATTGCGTGGTTTGGACCGTCGAGAAGCTCATGACTCAACTACGTATGAAATTGTGACTAACTCAGGTAGTGGGTAGTCTGAGCTCCTCCTGCTGGTTTAGGCCGAGGTGTCAGACTGTTGTCTCCCGCTCTGGGGAAGTAGCAGCAGCAGGAGGAAGTAACTGTGTTCTGAAGGGCACCACGGGACGGGTTGTTTGAGGGGCCCGCCACTAGGGGCGTCTGCTGGGGCTGGTTTTTATGGGAGCGAGTTGGAGCAGCATTATTATTATTATATATTATATATATTTATCTGTTCAGGTTTGATGTGCTACGCAGATTGACAGTTGATCCAATGTTTGCATTCATGCGTGTGCGTCCAGAGAAATGTAAGTGATGAGGTTTATTTACCGGATATATCGTTATGTTATTGGTATCTTTATTACTCTGTTAATTGCAGTGTGTAGAAATAGTTGTAGACATTTTTTTATCTACCAGGTCCCGTTATTTTAATACTTAAATGACGGACAGCTTGTTATCAATTTACCTTTATGTATATAATGCTGAATGCTTATTTAAATGTCTGGCGAATGTTATATCAGCCCACTGTGACTCGGATACTTTGTTAGTTTGGGTGTTGTAGCTAAGTTGTAAATGATTGGACATATGCAGCTCAGGCTATGGCATTTATTATGAGTGAATTGTTGTTAACATTTATATTGTATTGTTTACCTTTTCAGAACTACACACACACATAAACATAGGCAAGTGTGTATTGCATTGAAGGGCAGTATACTGATCATCGGTCTCAGGCATCATTATTTACATCAAGTCTTTGGGGAACATAGGGAGAGCATTGTAGCAGATTGTAACTGTGAGTAGCCAGCCTGTAGCTATTGAGCCTCAGCAACAAACCGGATGACATGCCTGTTGTGGGACCACTGAGTGACCTTTGATGGTGAATCCTTTCCCTCAGATGGTCTGTTTTCACTTATACAACTCAAGCTGTATTTAGTCTGACAGGGGGCTTCAAAGTCAAACGAGTTTTTTTGTTGCCGAGCAAGAGTTCTGCCTGAAGAGATGATGTTGACTTTTCCAGGAAACCGTGTTGCTGACAAAAACGATGTCTCTCCCTGACATAGTTTACAGATCATATTACCTCTGTTTCCGGATGTGTTTCACAGACGGGGAGACAATAACATGTTTATAATGTAATTTAGTGATTAATGAATACTGACTGAAATGCATTTACCAGCAGAATACCGACTGAAAACTCACTTGTCACTCACAATGCACGCGCTATTCCAGAAACCTTGTTTTATTCCAAAGTCCTCCAGGGAGATGCTGCCCTAATTTCTTGCTTTCCAAGTGGGATTCGAGTTAAAAGGAAGGTGAATAATGTGGAGGAAGCCACAAAATGAAAGATAATGCTTTTGAAAGCGGTGACGAGTTACATGTTCAGACACCCTCACAAGCTCTTAAACCAGATGCTTCAGATGTACAGTGTACACTTGTGTTGTTGTAAGCACTAAACACACACAGGGTCACAACATTACTCGCACTGAAGAGCCGAGGACAGTGTATGTATATAACATCAGACGGTACTTTGCGGGATGGATTTCATTTATTAATAAGGACCTCGGACAACATCCGTCTGCCACAGGCTTCAGAAATAAAATTCAATCTGTGACTTTTGGTAGCGTCTGTATATGTAGATATAAATGTATCTTTTGAACT